GGAGTGCTGCAGCTCTCATTCCAATTCTCGGCCGTGTTGCCTTCCACGCTGAGAGATCCAAGGGGCTTTGTGCGCTCCATTGTTTTGCCCAAGGTTTCTGAGCCCAAGTGACAAAGGCGACACATGGAGAAGTGGATCTTTCCTGATCCCAGTCACCCGCCACATATGGGGTTACGAAAGACGATGCCTCATCACATGACAGAGGTCAGAATCTGCTGTCTCCAGTGGCTGCTGTCAGAGGGTTCTCGGGCCTGACCGCTCATGCCGCCTTGGCCAGACAATAATTGTATTTAACTTGGTGGAGCTGAAAGCAACTGGATTGTCCTGGCTGATGTTTAAAATAGTCCCCACCACTTTCTGTCTCTCTGCTCCAGCTGCTGAACAAGGGCACAGAGCACTACTCCTATCCCTGCACGCCCACCACCATGCTACCCCGGAGCGCCTATTGGCACCACATCACCGGCTCACAGAACATTGCCGAGTCCTCCAGCTATGCCGGTGAGTGTCTCCAGAATTCCTCCTGTGCGCCGTGGGATCATTCCATCCAGGAGCTTCTCTACCCGCCTCTACTGAAGGGGCTGGTTTGCTGCTCCATAGGCTTTGTATAGGGCTAGTGAAACTTTCTGTGCTTCCCATCCCAGCTTCTCGTCCCTGAAGCCAGTGGGCTGCTGTGCAGGAGCTCGCTGCTACGCCAGTCCCAGCCCCTTCCAGCAGGAGGTGGTGTAGAGATTCCTGCAGGAGCACTGGCTATGGCAGCTCCCTAATAGCCCAGTCCCAGCAGGAGGCACTGAAGGACACGATTGCAGTTCCTTCACCTTTCAGTACTATGAGGACCAGGAAACAATACAAAATTCTGCTTTGTCCGCAGGTGAAGTGTACTCCGGAGCCCAGGCCAGCTCGGACACAGACCTCCTGAACAGGTTCATCTTACTGAAGCCAAAGCCTGCAAAAAGCGGCAAGAGCGACAGCAAAGAGTCCAAGTCTGCTTCTCAGTGACCGTGCTCTGAGTGGAGAGAGCCCCCAGCCCTGCCCAGGGGCCAGGGCATGCTGGAGAAAGGGCGCGTTAAGTGCAGGAGACATTTGTTTTCCAGCGCCCCGCTCCCCTCCTTTCCTGAGGGTGCTGAAGTTCTGGGAACCCTCCCCTGTTTGGAGAAGTTATCAGAGCTCCTGCCTGCAGGGAGAGAGTGTGAGACTGGGTCCCCTGTTCTGGGAAGGAGGCTGGAGATGGCCCCAAACTCTAGCCCTGGCCATGCTAGATTAAGCATGAGGAGCTTACGATAGGGAAGATGATGTCTAGCTCTATGTTGTTAAACGATTTTAAATATCTATTGCTTATACATATTCTATATTAAGAGACTTTCCTTCTCACACGAATGCAAGTTTTTTAGCCACTGAACAGACACTGGGAAGATGAGACACCAGAGATTTTTAATTCTTGGGTGGATGGATCTTTCTTTTTTTCTTAGGGTGGCATTGTGAGGGAAACCCAGCCCCAGTTGGAGCAGACGCCCCACCACCTCTGCTGGGAAGGGAAATTCCCCAGGATCCCCTCAGCAAGGCTCAAGAGTGGAAGGACTGAGTTTTCTCAAGTGGCCGACGGGTTGCGGTTATTGTTGGCAGCCGGTGGGAACAATGAAGTGATACTCGAAGCAGGGCAACTGAAGTGAACGTTTTTGAGAGGCTGCTGCCAATCCGGCCTGTTCCTTTAGGGCCGGAGGGTCCCATAGGTTGCAAATGGATGCTCCCTCCTGAATACAGTAGCGCTTTCCCTTGGAGAGGGAGGAATGGGGACTTGCAAGTCTACGCTCACTTTGCACTTCTTGAAGATACTAGAACACACACCATGGAACTTTCTGACATCTCAGGAGAAACTGGTTTTCTTTCCGAACTGTGACTTCTGCACAAACTCCCCCAGCTTCCGGAGGGAGGTGTTCTCAGTGGGCTGGGGACCGGCTGAGCGGGGTTTCACTCCATTAGCTGTGTCTCCTCGGTTCAGATTCTAGCAGCTATGTGGCTGCAGCATGGATTTCCCTTCCAAACCAAGCCCTTCTCTCCAGATCACGGCAGTTTAGTTGCAAGGGATGGGGTATATACAGGGCTGCCTCGTTTTAGCACAGGCTGGAGGGCTACACCCCTCCCACCCTTAATACACAGCCACTAAATACTTCGTTGCCTCTAAGCTAAGGTAGCAACCTGCCCAATCTACCTGTTTGGCAGAGCCAGCCTTGTTGGGATGCATCCGTTTTGAGAAGTTCCCTTTCTTTTACCTCCCGGGTCGGCCCATGGCTCCCGTTTCCTCTGGGGTGCTCTCACCTGCAGCAAAGCCCATTGACAGGAGGCTAGCCAGAGACAATCAGTTGGTCACACAACCTCTTCCCTGCTTCCTCCTTGTAAGGGACATTGTGCTTCTAGCTGATGGTGGGGGACCCAGGTTTCATTTCCACTAGATGCCCTGCAGTCTCAAGGAGCCAATGCTGCCAGAGGGTTGGTGTGCAGCCCCAGGCCCTTTTCAATCTCCTTTGTAGCTCTTCCCTCCCCCCGTGGGTCACTTCCTGAGAATAATTAGTGAACCCCTGGGCAGGTGGAAGTTGGTTTTAATATGCTGAAATCAAATCAAAGCAATTGATTTTCTAGTTCTGCTATTTATTGAATACCTTTCAGAAGGGCTATCTTTTTATTGCAGTACCAACATTGGGGTTTCCTCACTTTGGGTTGGTTGGTTTGTTTTTAAAGCATAAGGTACTGTCTCTTGGGGATGGGGAGACCCTGTGGACTATCACCTGTAAATACTCTTGTTTTCTGGTTGTGTGTGTGTGTGTGTGTAGGTGATGTGTAAGACGATGAAGACCTTTCAGACAGATCTGCTGGAGAAGTCCTGGCACACAAGACCAGCGACTGTCCAAACTGCCCTGTTGCAAGGCCCACTAAATTCAGTGCCCTTTCCCCACAACACTTATCTGGAGCAACAGGAACCAGCCAGGTTCAAGTCTAGACCACATAACTCTGTGGATCAGAGGAGCTTAATGGATGTACAGCCTCACAGATGAGGTGTAAGCTGCTGTCATTTCCTAGCCTAAACACCTATCTGGGTGCCCTGGCTATTCACTCTTGTTTTAGGCACTAGGGTAAAATGCTTTGGTTCAGGCTACAGGAGCGGACCAAGTCCTCAGCTGTGGTTCTAATGGAAGTACACAGAGTTGTACCAGCTGATTCTCTGGCCCCATGCCTTTAAAACATCGCTGCAGAGACACTGTCAACTTTGAAAAGGGTTTGTAAGGCTGGAGCCCAAGTGCTGGGCCATCCCATGATGACAGGCCCTGCCCTGAGGTTTGGAGGCATGGAGCTGCTAAATGCTGGGACAGGTGAAAGCTCTAGCAGGAGCTAGGCTGCCTCAGGAATTTGATGCACAGATGCGTTAAGCCAGGCAAGACAGGACATAGCAGTTATTGCCAAAAATGTTGTGTTTTTTAAAGGAACTGCTCAATCAATAAACTTTACTCACCCTTCCTGTTTGCCTACTAACTCCAAACACGGTACAGGGTGCAAGGGATACAGAGTGATAATGGTGCAGTGAAGACAAAGGTCCTGATTATCAGGGAAGGCTTCCGAACATCTGAAATGCTCAAGACTGAATTAGATCCAAGGCTGCAGTGTGTAAAGGGTCATTACACAGGCTATTTCTAGGGAGCTTCAATGAAGCTTTAAAGCAGTATGGGGTGTGTGTGTGTGTGTCTTTTCCAGATTGAGTGATCTGCACATAAAGGTTAAAGAAAAAGGAGCTCTGTAATCCTCTGTCCACCACTGGAGTGATTCTCAGCCCCTCCCCAGCCTGACCCAAACAGGGTGAATACTGCTCCCAGGTGTTCTGCGGCCTGCAAAGCCATGCTCTCTCCAAAACCGGCTGAGGCCCTCATGGCTCTTCAGAACAGACACCATGGGGGAAGTTTTCAGAAGTACTTGAGGGACTCAAGAGCACAAGTCCCACAGAAAGATGTCAGTACTTGTGTTCCTAAACCCGTTAGGAGCTCACTTCATCGAACAGTCTGGCAAGCGCCCAGGCTGGGCTGTTCGCAAGCAAGGAAAGGAGCGGAATCCCAGCATGGTTAAGGCAATGGATGGATTTTCAAGCACCTTGTAGGCTCTGAACCCTACAGGCTGGGTCCAGAACTCCCCATACCCCACTATACTGGGCAAACAGCTCCTAAGTATCCCCCACCATGACTTGGTTATCCAGGGCATGCCACAGCAGATCAGAAGCAGCAAAGCATCAGGGGAAAGCTACATTTCAGCCCTAGACATGGAGGCAGTGTTGCCCAGCCAAGACCCCTGCACCACACATTTGTGGTGTGACCAGAGCAAGTTGCTCTCTGCCTTTTTTCCTTCTCCATTTATCATGGATGCTGCACTGGGAATGCCCCTCCTCCGTGACTGGAGTAATTACGAACCCAGATCACTCTCTCGCTCCAGGCTGCCCACAGAAAGCTATTGGCATTTCTTTAGGAGCTCATCTTTAAAGTCCTGCTGGGTGACAGTGGTGGGGGGAGGCCAGGAGTGTCTGGGGGAATTTCAGCCACCGCAATTGCGGTGACGGTTTGATAGGTGCTGAACTCCCGGCACTGTACGGGTCTGACGCTGACTGAATCAGAGGGGTTATCAGTGACAGGCACCCAGCTACCCTGTACCCCATACAGAGTACCCCCGAGGCATCTAAATCCAGCTAAGCCTCCTTGGCACATAGGGTCCCTCTTGGAGCACTGCCTTCTGCAGCAGCTCAGCTCCCCGGCCCAGCTTCAGACAGACTCACCTTAGCCACAGATGCCACACTATATACAAGTGCCAGGGCTGGGGGCTGGTTTCTGTAGGAGAGAATGTCTGGAGCAGCAAAAAGCAAAGAGAGCAGCCAGCCCTGCAAAGCAGACCTCATTCCGTGCATGTCTGGAGGAGAGAACGGATGGCTAGGACCCTCCTCCTGCAGCCTCAGACAAGCTTTCTGGGATGGCTGAACATAGGAAAAAGGCTTTATTCAGCATGGTAACAAACAGGATATGGTTGTGCAACTGAGCTGAGATACATGCTTCCAAAGCCCAGCCGACGGATGGCCAGAGTCCAGTGTCAACAGGCAAGAGCTAGGGTCGTTTACACAGATTCACATCCCCACACAACAATAATAATATACCACACCTGGGTCTCACTGGCGACAGCTGGGAGCATCCCCGCACTATTCTGGAAATCTCACCCCTGCTCCCCCAGAGCAGCTTCCATGCTCTGAAGGGCGACTGATTGGAAGTCGTCTCAATACACATCACATCCCCACCAGTTCAGTGCCAGAAAGGCCTGAAGGCGCTGAGACTGAAGGTTCAGCACACAGGGAGCAGGGCTCCATGTTCACTTGGCTCCGATTAGCCGCACCCCAGGTAAAAAGCAGGTGGCTCCATGAACAGTGTGGCACATCAGTGAGACTTGGTCACAACGGGAGATTCTGCAGGAAGGGGCAGGGCTCAGTTTATAGTCAGGACATCACTCTGGATCTCGTGACTTAGCTGGGTCTGGAGGTCGCTCAGTTTCTTCTTCAGACCGGACAGTGCCGATAGAACGATGGTCTCCGGCCGCAGGGAGCCGCAGGACTCCACGTTGTAATAAAACCTGAGGGTATTGGAGGAAATTAAAATTCTTATATACGAATGCAAAGAACTGGAGATTTCTCTCTGCAATGTGTTTCCACCCTATTGTATTTCACTGCAAGGAGATCTCATTCCCAGCTCCTGGGAACCTTGTTAGCCCCTCCTTTCCACCCATCTTCCACCAGCAGCCGTAGATCCAAAATGACGGTTTGTAAGTTTACAGGCTACTGCATATTGCTCAGAAAGCTTTCTCGAGGAATTTCTGTCTCTGCTCACAATTGCCATGCAACCCATCACGCAGCGCCGAGCACAACGGGCTTGGATCTGACTGGGTGGCCGCTTTGGCCACTACTGCAATACAAATTGTTAACAGTCATTTCAGCACTGGAAATGGGGATACCAGTATGTCCCAGAATCTCAGCTCACCTGCCCAGCTTCAAACATATTCATCGTAGACAAAGATGCAGCATGGTATGCACGTGCCAGTGCAGAGAAGCCAGTGCAAGAGGAACAAATGTCAGGAATGAGACATCTCTGTACCACTCACACAACTCCCCAGCAAGCCTTTGATGACATCAGGGTCAGCCATTAGATGTGTATAACCCAGCACAGTGTAAATGAGGCTTCGTGCACCCCGCCCTGTCTGGGGAAGGGTTAATGAGCTTCTGTAGGCTTAATCTGCCCTGCCCTGCCCTCTCTGCAGGAGCAGTCAGACATGGAGGGGGCAGTTAAAAGGAGAGTCAGCTCAGCTCAGCTCAGTGGAGGTTAGGAAAGAGGCAGATCTCTTGCGGTAGCTCCTGAAAAACAGCCCAGCTGAGGACCAGGATACAACCACACACTGGAGCCTCTCTGTGGGAAGGTAGGCCTGGGGCAGGACTAGTGTGTTTACTTTGTTACCTGGAGCTACTGTGTTTGTTGTTCTACCTGGGACAGGCTTGTGGTCTAAAGGGGATTACTGCAGTGATACTCCTCCTCCCCCAGGAGATGAGAGCCCTCAACAAACCTCTGCTGGTTTGCCCCCTCTTGGAGACCATGCAGTGATTTGTCATGAGCCCCAAAGCTTGGTGGTCCCAACCAGCTTTGCAGCATGGAAGAAGCACTCTTATCTGAGAGGAGAGGCACCCTGAGTCCTGCACTGCCCCACTGAATGGATTCCCATTCTCTGATAGGGCAAGTTCTCTTGGAGGGAGCAGCCAGCCAGTCCTGGTTCCCATTTCACTGCGCCACCAATGGGCCCCAACCTACTCCCCAGGAAACACCAGCTCCTGAGGCTGGCAAATCGTTCTGCAAAGTCACTGAACCCCACCACTAAAGGCCCAGACAATGCGCTGAGGCGCTTCCAGGTGGCGTTGGGAAATGCCCTCCTTCCCCATGCACTGCTCCTTACCGCTCTGGCTTTCCATTGGGATCATAGGGAGCCTGGGCCTCATCCTCGTCAATTTCGGAGTATTCGCTCTTTGGCCTAGGATCAAATACAGCAATTAAGGTTAGTGCTGGAACCCACCTCCCCACTGGCTCCTTCTCACCCTGGGCAGCAGTTTGGTCCCACGAGTGGACAACATTCAGCATATGAATGAACTGGGGCAGGAGGATGGCATTCGTGTATTTAAGATTACAGAGATGGAAGAGTCCAATGGCCAAAGCACAATACAGTCTGCCAACAGACATTAGCCAGCACGACTGTACCCCTTTCAGAAGTCTGATGTGTCTTGCGTATCCCCAAGTTTCACCTCACTTCAAAACTACTCAAGTGATCATAAGCTAATTCAGTTCAAACTGAACGGAAGGATTAACAAAAATAAATCTGCAACTAGGATTTTTGATTTCAAAAGGGCTGACTTTCAAAAATTAAGGAAATTAGTTAGGGAAGTATATTGGACTGAAGAATTTATAGATCTAAAGGTAGAGGAGGCCTGGGATTATTTTAAATCAAAGCTGCAGAAGCTATCAGAAGCCTGCATCCCAAGAAAGGGGAAAAAATTCATAGGCAGGAGTTGTAGACCAAGCTGGATGAGCAAGCATCTCAGAGAGGTGATAAAGAAAAAGCAGAAAGCATACAGGGAGTGGAGGAAGGGAGGGATCAGCAAGGAAAGCTACCTTACTGAGGTCAGAACATGTAGGGATAAAGTGAGACAGGCTAAAAGTCAGGTAGAGTTGGACCTTGCAAAGGGAATTAAAACCAATAGTAAAAGGTTCTATAGCCATATAAATAAGAACAAAGAAAGAAGAAGTGGGACCGCTAAACACTGAGGATGGAGTGGAGGTCAAGGATAATCTAGGCATGGCCCAATATCTAAACAAATACTTTGCCTCAGTCTTTAATAAGACTAAAGAGGATCTTAGGGATAATGGTAGCATGACAAATGGGAATGAGGATATGGAGGTAGACATTACCATATTTGAGGTAGAAGCGAAACTCAAACAGCTTAATGGGACTAAATCGGGGGGCCCAGATAATCTTCACCCAAGAATATTAAAGGAATTGGCACATGAAATTGCAAGCCCATTAGCAAGAATTTTTAATGAATCTGTAAACTTAGGGGTTGTACCGTATGATTGGAGAATTCTAACATAGTTCCTATTTTTAAGAAAGGGAAAAAAAGTGATCCGGGTAATTATAGGCCTGTTAGTTTGACATCTGTAGTATGCAAGGTCTTGGAAAAAATTTTGAAGGAGAAGGTAGTTAATGACATTGAAGTCAATGGTAAATGGGACAAAATACAACATGGTTTTACAAAAGGTAGATCGTGCCAAACCAACCTGATCTCCTTCTCTGAGAAAGTAACAGATTTTTTAGACAAAGGAAACGCAGTGATCTAATTTACCTAGATTGCAGTAAGGCATTTGATACCGTGCCACACGGGGAATTATTAGTTAAATTGGATAAGATGGGGATCAATAGGAAAATTGAAAGGTGGATAAGGAATTGGTTAAAGGGGAGACTACAACGGGTCCTACTGAAAGGTGAACTGTCAGGCTGGAGGGAGGTTACCAGTGGAGTTCCTCAAGGATCTGTTTTGGGACCAGTCTTATTTAATCTTTTTATTACTGACCTTGGCACAAAAAGTGGGAGTGTGCTAATAAAGTCTGCGGATGATACAAAGCTGGGAGGCATTGCCAATTTAGAGAAGGACAGGGATACCCTACAGGAGGATCTGGATGACCTTGTAAACTGGAGTAATAGTAATAGGATGAAATTTAATAGTGAGAAGTGTAAGGTCATGCATTTAGGAATTAATAACAAGAATTTTAGTTATAAACTAGGGACGCATCAATTAGAAGTAACGGAGGAGGAAAAGGACCTTGGAGTATTGGTTGATCATAGGATGACTATGAGCCGCCAATGTGATATGGCCGTGAAAAAAGCTAATGCGGTCTTGGGATGCATCAGGAGAGGTATTTCCAGTAGGGATAAGGAGATTTTAGTACCGTTATACAAGTCATTGGTGAGACCTCACCTGGAATACTGAGTGCAGTTCTGGTTTTCCATGTTTAAGAAGGATGAATTCAAACTGGAATAGGTACAGAGAAGGGCTACTAGGATGATCCGAGGAATGGAAAACTTGTCTTATGAAAGGAGACTCAAGGAGCTTGGCTTGTTTAGCTTAACTAAAAGAAGGTTGAGGGGAGATATGATTCCTCTCTATAAATATATCAGAGGGATAAATACCGGAGAGGGAGAGGCATTATTTAAGCTCAATGTGGACACAAGAACAAATGGATATAAACTGGCCACCAGGAAATTTAGACTAGAAATTAGACGAAGGTTTCTAACCATCAGAGGAGTGAAGTTTTGGAATAGCTTTCCAAGGGAAGCAGTGGGGGCAAAAGATCTATCTGGCTTTAAGATTAAACTCAATAAGTTTATGGAGGAGATGGTATGATGGGATAACATGGTTTTGGTAATTAAATATTCATGGTAAATAGGCCCAATGGCCTGTGATGGGATATTAGATGGGGTGGGATCCGAGTTACCCAGGAAAGAATTTTCTGTAGTATCTGGCTGATGAATCTTGCCCATATGCTCAGGGTTTAGCTGATCGCCATATTTGGGGTCGGGAAGGAATTTTCCTCCAGGGCAGACTGGAAGAGGCCCTGGAGGTTTTTCGCCTTCCTCTGTAGCATGGGCACGGGTCACTTCCTGGAGGATTCTCTGCTCCTTGAAGTCTTTAAACTACAATTTGAGGACTTCAATAGCACAGATATAGGTGTGAGGTTTTTTGCAGGAGTGGTGGGTGAAATTCTGTGGCCTGCGTTGTGCAGGAGGTCAGACTAGATGATCATAATGGTCCCTTCTGACCTAAATATCTATGAATCTACTTGCTCACAAAATCAGACATAAAAATACAAGTGTCATAGCATGCGACTACTGAAAAATTACTTACTTTTATTTTTACTATTATAAAATCAGTTGGAATATAACTACTGTACTTACATTTCAATGTGCAGTATAGCCAATTCACTGTCTGTATGAAATTTTAGTTGGTACTGACTTCACTAGTGCTTTTTATGTAGCCTGTTGTAAAACTAGGCAAATCTCTAGATGAGCTGACGTATCCCCTGGAAGATCTCTGCATACCCCCAGGAGTACACGTACCCCTGGTTGAGAACCACTGCTATACTTGATCTTAGCTAAAGACGTATGCGTGTTTCCCAACCGAGGGACAGGCCCGCTGTTGGAGAAGGGCATGCCAGGCTAGTTCAGGGCTTGGCACAGGAGAGAATCAAAGAGGATGGGGAAAGGACCCAGCTCCACCTCCTGCCTCCGACACTCAGGCTGCAAACAAGCTACCATGTTTGCAAGTGAACTAACAGACGTCTCATTAAAAGCCACCCAATCTTCCCTGCGCATCCGTGGGGGCAGCTTACAAGTACAGGGCTGCCGGCAGCAGCCTGCCAGCTCAAGTGCCTCTTCTCTGCTCCCCTGGCACTCAGCTGCGCCTTGGATGGCCCCAATGGTCACTCCTCACCTGCAGGAGCAGGTAGCCTTCTGGTGTGGTGGTGTGTAGGAGGGCGTCAGGAAGGGAAGCAGGGGAAAATGTCGGCAAAGAATATGGGGGGGGGGGGGGCATGGAATACTAAGATAAAAGCAACAGAAAAATGGAGAGACAGCAGCAACTGTGTCAGCACATGGCGTTAGAACCAGGAGAGAGGTGTGGGGGGGAGGAGGGGAGGGGAGATGGATTGCCCAATTCACACCATGGGAAGCTCCAAGAAAATAACTGGGAACCACTGTTATAGTCAAATACACTCAAATGCACACACACAGGAGTCGCTCTGCCTAAGGGCGAGGCGGCATTTTCATTCCAAACCCCCTATTTTCAGTTGCTTACCAAATTCTAACAAATTACTTCTGGGGTTAGAACTCGACCAGCTATTGGAAATGATGTGAAAGGAAATTAAATTGAGTTTGTAGTGAACACGTTTGACTAAGAATATTTAGAATGGGAGACACTAAGGCTGTCAAAGTAAGGATCACCCATGCCTAATACTACAGGAATATCTCAAGCTGAAAGTAGCATTAACCACCCAGATGACCCACCCAGATGACCACCTTTACTGGAGGAACAATACAGATGCTATGGGAACCCTAACTTTAAGTAATCTCATAACTTGTAGTTTTAATTTCTCAGCTAGTGTTGCATTAATGTAGTCTCTTGTACTGAATACAGAATATTTTCTCTTGGTTGTGATCACACATGCCACTCAACCAATGCTATTTGCAACCCAGAACATACCATTCCTCCGGCTTGGGGTAGACTGTGTGCCTCAACGCATTGTCTGGATCATACTCAAAGGCTACTCCTGCTGTAGGGTTCCACTTGGCATGCTCCTTGCCAAACCCCTTCTTGGCATAGGCTCGCAATCTCAGCTCTTGGCCTTTCCGTAACTTGACAATGAGGATGTCTGAGAAGCACAAACACTGAGTCAAATCGGGGTGGGAGAGTGGCTGCAAAGGAGAAATCCTCGCATGGTAGCATGCTTGCATTTGAGTGATGAGTGAGTGGGGAACTATTCGTGCATAGGGAAATCTCCTTAGAAAGCAGAGCTCATTTACAGTCTTAGAAGGGCTTATTCATTCCCTGATATCAGCCATGCAACTCCCACTGATGGAAAAATGGGAGCTGTACATGTGGATGAGGGCATGATTTGGCCCTTAGACCACAGCAGATGAGGAAAAGCTGGTTTTGCATCTTTGCTGTAACATCCAGTTATAACAGAAAGAGAGATGATCTCCTTTACCTCCCAAACACTCTAACTCCGAAGTAGCAGTAAATGCAGGGGTCACATCTGTTTACTGGAGCAAAAAGTTAACCCTGTGCACACTGGCATTTCCACAGTGCCAGCTTTGGCTGTCAGCACCACATCTGCAAGTGCCCCAGGGTTAACTGACTAGTAATTTGGGGTGTGGGGCAAAGAGCCCAAGAGGAAAATCTGTTTCTCTCTGCAGCTCTTTTATACAGTGACTCACTTACCATCCTGCTCCACGTAGTCATTGGGGTCATTGTCTCTGCTCCGGGAAGTCACCTGCACAGAACGAGCCACAGATGAGGTCACTGTGGGGACCAACCCCTTTCTCCCGACTTTGAACCCTGGCTCACCCACTAAACTAAGAGGACCGTCATTGCAAACAGACTTAGCCCGTAGCGAATTATTGAAGGCAGGACAAGAAATAATGGGCTTAATCTGTAGCAAGGAATATCTAACCTAGATCTCAGGAAAAACTTTCTAACTATAGGGATAGTTGAAACTCTTGAATTGGCTTCCAAAGGAGGTTGTGAAGCTCCCATCGTTGGAGGATATTTAGGACAGGTTGGACAAAAACCTGTCAGGGTTGGTCTAGGTTTACTTGGTCCTGCCTCAGCACAGGGGGGTTGATTAGCTGACTTCTCTTGGTCCCTTCCAGCCCCACACACCTGGGTTGGTGATTGTATAGGGAGGAAGAGCCAGCCTATACATCTTTCCAACCAGCGTTCCCATATTATAGGGTGACCGAGTGGTGCAGTCTGTGGGCCGAATGTGACCCCTGTGGTTCCATGCCGCTGCACAGAGCGGCTCTATCTTTAATATGGAGGCTTGGCCTGCAGATAACAGACCCAGCACGCAGGGCCCCACCATAATCAAAGTGGTCTGGCTACTCCAAGGAATGTTCGGCACAGTATTTTTTAAAAAGAAAACCATCTGCGATCTGCTCCACTTTGCGAAAACGAGGGGCAGCCTTCAGACTACTCACCTGTGGCTAGGTATCCCTGATTTAGCGGTATTTTAAAGACTTGCCCCACCAAATCCCTTTGAATCCATTCTCCTGGGGCTCTCTTAACATCCTTCTCCGAGGCCTGTCAAGAGCCACATGGCTCCGATGCCTCATTTGAGATACCGCTGCCACCTAGCACTGCTGAGGGCCAACAAGCAAACTTGCAGGCAGCAGAATTTCTGCCAGGCCTTTGAAGGTTCTGAGAGCTCTTCCAAAGAGCCCCCCAGCCATCATGATTTAGAACACAAGTCTAGGTGATGTAACACTGAGGCTGTCTAGGAAGAACTTGGCGATGGATGATCTAAGAGTGCATACTTGGACTGTGGAGGGGAAGACAGACAGAATGCCTAGCTAGGATGCCTAAAATGTAAGGACGTCATAGCTATCAAACAGGAGCCTTGATGTTTCTGCTTAGAGAAAGGGTAGGGAAGAGACCTTACTGACTGACTTGATCTTATACTGACCGGTATGACCCGAGGGTTGTTGGAGATGAGATCACGGGATGTCACGTGACGAGTCTGGTCTTCATTGCACCGGACATCAAGGGTAAACTCCACAGAACACTCTGGACAGAACTCATCACATGTACAATCCTAGGGAGAGGGGGTAAGAAACAGGTCAGGACCACTATTCTCTGCCAATGAGAATGTATAGCATCCCATGTCAGATCAGGCCATTCTCCCCCCACAGCCCTCTCAACGAGATATTGGCATATCTCTGAACTCACCCTGGAGTACTGCAGCTTATCCACAATGTCATCGCTGGTGAGTGGGATCAGACCTGAGGAGAGATGATAGTTAGGGAGAGTGCAGAAAACACCATGAAATACGTCTAAGTGATACCAAGGGACCTAACATCCCTCCAGGTGGGACCATCAGAGAGGGACAAAGCTCCTGGCATCTCACCATCACAGAAGGTCCCATCAGCAGTTAGAGACAGAAAAGACCAATAGGGTCAGTTTCCACACATCTTGTGGGCCAGTGTAAGAGTGTAAAATACGGTGTAGATAAAATTGCTGTAAGGTGGGTGCATGACTGGTTGAAAGACTGTACTCAGAATAGTTATCAATGGTTCAATGTCAAACTGGGAGGACCTATCAAGGGGATGGAGGGGCCCCCTGGGTGTTTGTCCTGGGTCCAGTACTGGTCAATATTTTCATTCATGTCTTTAATGGAGCAGAGAGCATACTTATAAAATCTGCTTGTTGCAAGTACTTTGGGAGACAGGATTAGAATTCAGAATGATCTTCATAAATTGGAGATCTGCACTGAAATCACCATGAGAAATTCAACACAGATCAGTGCAGTGCTCTGCACGCAGGAGGAAAAAATCAAATGCACAAACACAAAACGGGGGCTAACTGGCTAGGCAGCAGTACTGCACAAAAGGATCTGGGGGTTATAGTAGATCATGAACAGGAGGACTTGTGGCACCTTAGAGACTAACAAATTTATTTGAGCATAAGCTTTCGTGAGCTACAGCTCACTTCAGCTTATGCTCAAATAAATTTGTTAGTCTCTAAGGTGCCACAAGACCTCCTCTTCTTTTTGCGGATACAGACTAACCCGGCTGCTACTCTGAAACCTGTCAGTAGATCATGAATGAGTCAACAGTATGGTGCTGCTGCAAAAAAGACAAATGTCATACGGGGATGTATTCACAGAGAATTGGATGTGAGACATGGGAGGTAACGGCTCCACTCTGCTCAGCGCTGTGTCCAGTTTGGGGCTCTACACTTCAAGAACGTTGTGGACAAATTGGAGTGGGTCCAGACAAGAGCAACAACAATGAAAAAACAGGTTTAGAAAACCTGACCTGTGAGGAGAGGTTGAAAGAACTGGGCATGATCAGTCAAGAGAAGACTAAGGGGGTGGGGGACATAAGTCTTCCAATATGTCAAGGACTGTTATTAAGAAGATGGCAATCTACTGTTCTCCATAACTACGGAGGGTAGGATAAGAGGTAATCAGCTCAGTTTGCAGCAAGGGAGATTTAGATTAAATATTAACTATCCTTCTAGTTAGAAAGTCTAAGGACTGGAATAGGTTACCAAAGGAAGTTTTTAAGAACAGGCTCACAAACACTTGTCAGGGATGGTCTAGGTTTACTTGGCCCTGCCTCTGCACAAGGGGCTCGACTAAATGACCTCATGAGGTCCCTTTCAGCCCTATGATTCTAGGATTGTTCCCTACAATACATTCTAGACATACTTAGGTCCAGAATAATTTTCCTCCTTTCTTTAAGATGTTGGTTACTCACCCAATCTGTGTGCAATGAACTCGTCATGGAGCACAGAGGAGTTAGCATCTATCTGGACCCAGTCTATGGCTGTAAACAGAACAGAAACAAGTAATGAAATCTCTTGGAGGCGGAAAGACACTGAGTTCCTGGGGCATGTACCCCCAGGATGATACATGGTTTCAGAGAGGCTGAAAAGTTTAGATGGTCTTAGCTCCCATGTGCAAAACCTAATGACTAACTAAATGTTAAAGGCTCAGGAACCTTAACACCATTTGCATACCTTTCCCCAAAGATGAGGGGCAGAGGGAAGTCTGGCACAGGTGAGAGGATGGCTGGGAACCGAAGGACCAGTGACAATGGCAGCAGATGCCTACATGGCAGTTTTGTGGGTGATTCCCAGCTCAGGTAGTACACGTTCTAGCCGTGCTTGAGCTACTGGGCTAAAAATCACAGTGTGGTCACGGCAGTGCAGGTGACCACCCAGGCTAGCTACCCAAGAGGGTGCACGGGACTGCACGCAGCTGGCTAGCCCAAGCCACGGCCTGTGCCACTGTGTCCCCGCTGCTATCTTCAGTGTGATCACTCAAGCAGACCTAGCACAGGCCTGTGCACCCAAGCTAGGAATCCCCCTCTTAACTGCTGTGCAGATGTACCCCTACGGGATCTTCTTCATGAACAGACAAGACAAGACTAAAGGTGGAGAAAATACCTATTATGGGAACTTCAGCTATAAACACTCTTCGGATGGAATTCGCTACCCTGTAACAGAGGAGAAAACCAGCACTGAGAAACACAAGTAATGAACTTCAAAATGCATTTTATCCCATGTGAGAGAGAGACAGACATGAGGAGTTACCCTGACCTCAGCTAACATGAACTCTACACAAAGGAGAGCTCAGTATGAGGACAGGGACATTCAGGGCGTCTCTCTCTCTCTAGTCCGATACCACATCCACCATCATAGTATCCGAGGGAGGCTGTACTGTCTACACCAGAGGTGGGCAAACTACGGCCCGCAGGACCCTCCTGCCCGGCCCCTGAGCTCCTGGCCCGGGAGGCTAGTCCCCAGCCCCTCCCCACAGCCTCACCTCGTCGCCGGCCCCATGCTCAGGGCGGCGCGGCTGCAGAGCACCCGGCCTGACCCGGTGCTCTGTGCTGCAGGGTGGCGGCCGCATGGCCCGGCTCCACCCGGGTGGCATGGCTGTAGTGCCGCCAGTCACTGGTGCTCCAGGCAGTGCGGTAAGGGGGCAGGGAGAGGGGGGTTGGATAGAGGGCAGGGGAGTTCGGGGGTGTGGATAGGGGTCGGGCAGTCAGAGGGCGGGGAACAGGGGGGTTGAATGGGGGTAGGGGTCCTGGGGGGGCAGTCAGGAAGGAGGGGGGTTGGATGGTGCAGTGGGGGGCAGTCAGGGGTCAGGGAGAAGGGGTGGTTGGATGAGGCAGGGGTCCCGGGGGGGTGCATTCAGGAAGGAGAGGGGGGGGTTGGATGGGGTGGCAGGGGACAGTCAGGGGCAGGGGTTCCATGGGTGATCAAGGGAGAAGGGGTGGTTGGATGGGGCAGGGGTCCTGGGGGGCCAAGGGGGCAGGGGCATGACCCCCTCCCCTAACTGGCCCTCCATACAATTTCAAAAACCCGATGGCGGCCCTCAGGCCAAAAAGTTTGCCCGCCCCTGGTCTACACTGTGGAGGGAACACTGTGGTCTACACAGCTCCGCCACTTCTCTGAACGATGATAGTCACGTTGATGTATTTGATGGCCTACCTGCATCTACACTAAGAGTTAGGTTGGCATAGCTACACCGATAAGGGGCGTGGGCTATACTGACTTAACTTTTACGCATAGACCAGGCCCGAGTGTCTTAAGGTACAAGGTTTGCTCCAAACAGACCTGGCCAAAGTGCAGCCTGCCAATACCTGCTTCCTGGATCCTCTTCATTCCTCATTCAACCACAGCTCTATTTGTTTGCTCCCCCAGCAAAGCTTTATTGATAGAGTAAACCCAATGGGGCTCTCTGCAGCTTTCAGCACCCTGCTCCTAATGCTACTGCCCTTCGTTAATAGCGGGCAGTCTATAAACAGAGCCCTGAGCCTTCATCCCTGATCTGACCACTCATGATAAGAGGGTCAATCATACTCTCTACAGTCTCCCCATAACAAGCCACCCCCAGGTTAATGACTGGCAATTCCTGCTGAGGAGAGAGGCCCTAGTGGAAAAGCAAGACTTGCTAATGATTATCTGTGAAATTCTTACAGAGGTCACAATGCCATAAACTAAAGTGTCCACAGTAATACAGTCACGGCCCCTTGTGCTCGGCAGAACATTGGCCCCTGATTCTGCAGCAAGGTCCCTGGATTGCGTGGGACTCTAGTGTGGCAGGCTGAAGATTAGTTTAATTTTAAATTGAAAATGGAGAGTAATAAATTCAATATGAAAATATAATCTGCATCCTAGCTCCTATTTATGTGTGGAGGCCATTTATTTTACCTTTTCCCTATGTTTTCACCCTACCACAGACTTTTCTTTATCTGGAGGGGAGAGAGGCTAGAGGTTTTGGCAGCCAGGTAAGGATAGTTGGCCCTTTTGGGATCCTGGGAGGTCGTCTGGGTTTGTAGGATAAGCACATTATCTGTTTCTGCTAAAACAATCAGCAGCATATGGTAGACAATGCTGACACTTAAATTCTGAACTGTGGATTACCAGCTCCACTGAAATAAATAGGGCAGTTCCCACCTCTCAGGGGTATGATTTCAGGCTGTTTGCAGATTCACGCACACAGTAAGGGCTTGGGTCACATTTTGTTCATGTTTTTAAGGGATTTTTCACAAACAAAACTAGAAATGTTATTTTTTAAAAGGAAAACAGACTCTGGAGTACAATTCTGTGGCAAAAATGAGGAGTGCACAGAGCCCTGAATATACTTAGCCAAGGATCATGCTAAACACAACAATGTAAAGATGAAACATACTTGTGAACGAACCTTTAGAGCCAGGACACAGATAGCTGGGGGGGACAGGGTTTGTTTACGGGGAGAAATTTGTCTTCCCCCAGCCAAGGGACATAAAGGTCAAGACCAAAGTAGCGGGGCCAATCTATGGAGTTGGAGAGTGGGAATTGTGATGCCTGGATCATCCCAGTGTGGGTGGCATTTCTCCTTGTTGCGTTCCCCCCCAGCCTCCACCAGTCCTTCAGCCTGATCACCTGCCCCCAGGGCCCCAGCAGCCCCGTCTGTGCCCCGGCACCATCCTACCACCCCGCAACGCACTGAGGGGAAGAGGGCACCATGCACTAGGGGGTCTCCTTTTCCCACCCAGTGGGGCACCCCTCAGGCATCTTAGAGCCAGGGGAGGACAGGATCCCAAGGCTTGAAGGTGGGCAGGGAAAAGCTCGGTGAGGGGAATGGGGGGGGGGAGAGGAAGAAGAGATGGAGCCTCAAGGTGCAGTGAAGCCCTTTGCCCTGTTCGCCCCAGGAGGAATGGAGTGGGGCAAAGTGTGGGATGTGGCCCAGGCCCCTCACAGCTGTGGGGCAAGGGGAGCAGGATCCTCCCCAAGGGAGGAATGTGCCCCCCCCCCCCAAGAGCCTGGCAACTCTGTGCAGCAGAGCTCCTCCCAGCTCCCTGCAGCTCCCCAACCATTCCCCGCAGCCACCCCCACTCCCTGCAGCCCCCCAATCATTCCCTGAGCCCCCTACTCCCCACAACCCCCCCCATGTTTTCGGGCCCCCTGCTCCCCGCAGCCCCCCAACCATTTCCTGAGCCCCCCACTCCCTGCAACCCCCCCACCATTCCGAACCTCCCTGCTCCCCACAGCCCCCCAACCATTCCCTGAGTGCCCCACTCCCCGTAGTCCCCCCGCTCCCTGCAACTCCCCAACCATTCCCTGCAGCCGCCCCCCCACTCCCTGCAGCCCCCCAATCATTCCCTGAGCCCCCCTGCTCCCCGCAGCCCCCAACCATTCCCTGAGCCCCCCTGCTCCCCGCAGCCCCCAACCATTCCCTGAGCCCCCCTCCCCGTAGCCCCCCTGCTCCCTGCAGCCCCCCAATCATTCCCTGAGCCCCCCTGCTCCCTGCAGCCCCCCAATCATTCCCTGAGCCCCCCTGCTCCCTGCAGCCCCCCAATCATTCCCTGAGCCCCCCACTCCCTACAACCCCCCACCATTCCAAGCCCCCCTGCTCCCTGCAACCCCCCCACCATTCCCTGCAGCCCCCCAACCATTCCCTGAGCCCCCTTGCTCCCCGCAGCCCCCCAACCATTCCCTGAGCCCCCCTGCTCCCCGCAGCCCCCCTGTTCCCTGCAGCCCCCAATCATTCCCTAAGCCCCCCACTCCCTGCAACCCCCCCACCATTCCCTGAGTGCCCCACTCCCCATAGCCCCCCGCTCCCTGCAACTCCCCAACCATTCCCTGCAGCCCCCCAACCATTCCCTGAGCCCCCCACTCCCTGCAGCCCCCAATCATTCCCTGAGCCCCCCACTCCCTGCAGCCCCCCCACCATTCCGAGCCCCCCCACTCCCTGCAGCCCCCCCACCATTCCGAGCCCCCCTGCTCCCCGCAGCCGCCCAACCATTCCCTGAGTGCCCCACTCCCCGTAGCCCCCCACTCCCCACAGCCCCCCCGCTCCCCCCAACCATCTGCCGAGCCCCCCCGCAACCCCCCACTCCCCATAGCCCCCCCGCTCACGCCAGGTCCGTGTTCTCGATGATGAACTTGACGTTCTCGTCGCTGAGCTCGGTGATGCGCACCGTGGGCTGGTTGGCGTACGGCATGGCGGGCCCCGGGCCGCGGCCTGCTCCGCTCCCTCCCCGTCCCCGTCCCCGCCCCCGCCGCCGCCGCGCCCGGCCCGCGCCTGCCCCCCGGCGGCCGCCCGCCGCCCTGCGCCCCGGGAGGACCCGCGCCAGCAGACACGCCCCGCTCCGCGGCTGTGGGGGGCCGCCCCCAGTGCCCGACGGGGAGCAGGAGGCTGCACCAGCCACCCAACCCCCGCCTGTGATCACAGCATCTGGGCCCCCCTCCCCGCCGTGCTAGGCGCTGTACAAACACCTCCCCCTCCCTGCTGCTCACCCCCGCCCCTGGGACCAGCCCCCAGTGCTGGAGCTGGCCAAGCCGGGCGCGCAGTGAAGGAGCCCTAGAGTAACACCACACAGGAACCCACTTTAAACAGGACTTTTTTAATTCTTTACAGACTCGTTTCTAACTAATTTACAAGCGAGTCAGCCGGCTGCCATGGCCGGAGCCCAGCAGCAGGGTGCATCACACATTCAGAAACAGGCTTTACGGCTACAGGCACTAGCGGGTATCCGCAAATGGCTGGTTGGGGGGCTGTCGGTATGCCCAACCTCCAAACCCCTTATTACCATGTTTGATTGCATTACTCCCCTAAGAAAGAAATCCAGGGATGCATTCACACAGGTAAAAACCGTGAAAGGCTATCCCAGCGACAGCCTTCCAAAGAGCACCATCTAATAACGCCAACTGGCCCCTGCTGTGAGGTCTCTTCCTGACAGTGTCATTTCCAGCAGTGACGTGAAAACATGATGTCCACGCAGGGTTCAAGGCACACATGGTCTATGTGTTATGGAGGACTGGGGCAGTGCAAGTGAAAGATGTCACTGGGGTCTGGCCTAATTCAGTTCAATCAACCTTTCGTCACAATTGTCTAATAATGCACTAATCCGTGTTTTTACTACACCAGGGCTACTAGGAAAGTCTAATCAAAATAGGGAACACAAACAGGAAGCCTGGTCTTAAGTTATTTACAAATCCCAGTAAATACAGATGCTTGTGCCATTCTGCTAGACAGGCTTCTGCGGTGGGGAAAATTTTAACAGTGCTCGGGATGTTCATTGTTGTGATGGCTCCATGTTCTTGTGCGCACTGGGATTCTGCCTTCAATCTTCTTACAGGCAAAAGGCATGGCACAGACTTTCAGTTCCGTCTCTTCCTCTTCACCGCCGCTGGTTCAGTCCCGCCAGGTTCTTTATCTGTTGCACACCACGCGAATGGAACAGAAATGACAAGATGATGAAAGTAATTAACACCAGTGGTACATGAATGTTCAGTGTGGCTACATGTAGCTGTTCCTTCCAAATGTTTGGGAATCTGTCTCTGCGGGAAGGGACTAGGTAGATATCAGGCAGACCGGAGATTACAGAAAAAACTCCCAGATATTGCATGCTCACCACCAGAGCAATCTAACCTAACTGTTCTCTGGAATTACATCCATCGTCTCCTCTCTTGCCCTGGTGTCAGCCTTCTCTCCAGCCAATGAGGGCTGCGTGTGGCTCCCTCTACAGCACAATCAGCATCACTTCCTGAATTGGCTAGAGGCGTCCTTGGAAAGCAATTACAAACCCCTTTTCCTAACTCTCCAGGGTCTTAGTGCCCCTGTGGAGCAATTCCAGCCTTGGGACGAACAATCATTGCAGCACCTGGACTTGGACTCCTCCCATCGTTGACATGTGCTGCTTTTGAACTACTGAACTTGTCCTTTTCCTTTTAAATGACCCCTTTAACCTCCTTTAATCTCTCCCTCTTTGTGAGTAATGTAACGGACGGTAAAATGATGCCCCGATACACTAAATCTTCAACAATGGGATGTGCCTTGACAGCTGGTGCCAGCAGGGTTAATCTACAGTGATGAGATTCGCAGTGTGGCAGCAGTAACTCTCATATAGCATGCAGATTTCTTGTGGCTGAGGATCCTAGAGTCCTTTCAACAAATGGCAGGAAAAACCCTAACGGTCTGAGGCGACAGGTGACCAGTCTAGGAGGGTGGGATTAATCCTTAACTGCAACAACAGTAAAAATTGTTCCCAAGTAATGCTCCAGTCTTAAACATGAAGAAAAGCTTATTTCTATTAGTGGGAAGGTAGTTTTGTTGCATGTGTAATCTGTGTTGTAGAGAAATTCAGTACAGAAACACAGTGCTGACAGGATTTGCTTGCTAAAATAACGGTATACTATCTATTTATTTAGCACCCTTTCATCCCAAAGGAAATCAAAGCAGTTTATCAGTTATAACCAGGCACAGAGGAAACACTTCATATGTCACAGACCGGCTACCACCTCTGTGGTGGAACACAGCTTCTTTTTAGTGAAAGAAGAGGATACTGTATCCTAATGAAATTGTGGAAGTCATTTAATCCAGAACATAAACCCCCGACTAGCAGTTTGGTCAGGACCCTGGCACAAGCACCTTGATTCTCATAATAAGTGCACCATCGGCTATTTAGTCATCACAAGTGGTCAGGAACTTGGTTTTACATCTCAGCTGAGCACAGACCTCTTCAGCAGCACAGTATCTCCTACCATAAAACTGGAGCAGGGGTTCAGGACTGACTCAGAGGGAAATGCACCCCCTACTGTTTAACCAAATACTATTACAGGCAGCACCTGGGTTTTCCTAGAAGTCCCTAATTTGGTCACTGACCAGGAAAGACATTACAAGGGAAAAAGACTGATAAATTCTTTATTCTGACACCTCTTCCTCTCCTTCTTCCTGGCCCCTAATCCTCAAACATCCAACCTGTATTTTGGCACTGTATTGTGAGTTCTTTCATAGGGAAATGAGCAGACCATTTAAATACTTCTTCCCCAGAAAAAACATTTCAAGATGCTCGTGACTTGAAGCTCCACCAGTAAAGAAGCTACTATCTCCTTGATAGAAATACCTCAAGAGGCACTCTCTCAGCTGGGTTCTAAACTTGGGATGAAGAAGAAACTAGTATCAAGTCTGGATGAGGAATAGAAATAACCCTCTTTAGATGCTCTGCTTTCAACACTACTTACAGTGACTGCAGCTCCCATTAGGCCCTGGACGAGTGCTTCTCCTGTTGACTGTACCTAGGCAATACAAGAACACACTGTTGCTTTCTGCTGATTTTAAACTTGTATAGGCTCATAGGAGAGGTTTACACACACGTAGCTCTTTGCAAGCATGTGTTGCCGTGATGGAGGTGTTTGTATGCACCCAGTGATGCAGAAAAGTGACATCCAAGCACAGGTTCAGAGTGGAGCACAAGGGAGCCGACATGCACAACCAGTACATAGGCCAAGTGGTGACACACACGGACTAATATACTAAAACCATAACACAGGAATGGTTCAAAAGCAGAGGAGGGACTCGCCTGGAATTCTCCTAGTAACGTTATCTAAGTGGGCCAGTCTAGCATCAAAGTGACTAAATGTAACTATTTTGCTGGATTTACATGGAGAGGCATACACATGTAATTCACTGTCTATGTGATTTATACACATTTATTGTTATTGTACTAACAGTGCACATGGCTCACCCGTCAGTATATTTTCTGTGTGTGTGTACTGGCTGGTTTGTGCCTAGGTGCTTGTTGTGCATTAGCACTGAACCATGTCCAGCTGCACACACATCAGTTACGTAAGGCTATGTGTACGTCTGCACTGAAATCATGGGGTGTGATTACAGCTTGAGAGGCCGAGGCAGCATGGGCTATACAAGCCTGTGTGGAACCCTGGGTATTTACTCAGGCAGCTAGTGTGCACTTAAACCCATGCTGCTGCAGCTTCACGGTCCACTACCCAAGCTAGCTAGAGTACAGATAGCTTGGGTATGTCTGCTCAAGCTGCAACAAACCCATGAATGCAGTATCGACAGGCCCTATGTTCCCTAAACTATATAGTGTTACCTGTTTAGCTGTATGACCCATCTTCATGGCATCAGCTATTCTGTTTTCCAGGAAGCGCCAAGTCTCTTCAAAGTCAGGAGACGAGTCCTGCATCATCACCACCTCAGTGGTGTTGTAGATGCCAGCTAGCACTGTCCGACGAGTGTACCAATTAATCTGCAAGGACATGAATCATGAGTAAGGCTAAGGTTTTGTCAGAGATATTTTTAGTAAAAGTCATGGACAGGTCACAGGCAATAAACAAAAATTCACAGAAGCTTGTGACCTGTCCCTGACTTTTGGAGGGGTCCCCCCACCAGGGCGGGGGCTGGGAGCTGCAAGGGGGCTGGCTGGGAGTTCCAGCCCCAGGGCAGAAAATGTCACAGAGGTCTCTGGAAGTCACGGATTCCGTGATCTCCGTGACATAATCATAGCTTTAATCATGAGACACAAGGTTAAGCACTGTCCAGTAAAATGCAGATCTCATAAGCTGACCTGGGAAGGAGAAGAGGTAGAATAGAGGTAATCTCTCCCAAGTTATCAGCTGGGCAGTGATTGATCCAAGGTGAAGGGACAGCTTAGCAGACAAGATAGATTGAAATCAATGGAAGTTAGAACCCTAAATACCTTTGTGGCTCTGGGCCTTAAACTATTATGAATGCACAAATTGTGCTTATGCAGTAGGCCACCACCCTCTGACACTGCAGCTGCTCTCCTGGCACCAAACTGATATCACAATTACAGTGACCACCTGGTTCTGAGCAAGAGAGAGGGAGAAAAAGCAGCGTGTAGAAAATTGCTGACCAAAAGTTACACCACCACTACCCGCTTCAGAGTGCAAATAGGTTGCTGCAGGGGTTAGGAAGGAATCCAGCCTCACCCTATTCTGCGCTGCCCAGTCAGCAAGATGCATTGTGGAAGACTTCACCTTTCCGTAAGGCATTTGTATCAGCCAAAGTGAAGTTAATAGCCTGATGCAGCATAACAAATCCTATATTCAGAACCAATCCCCAGCTGTGAGCTGCTAGGGATTCAGACATGTATAAAGAGTACTGATACCACACGCTGAATCATTACATTGCGCTAGCAATGCCGTAAGATGCATTACAACGGGCTATACCTGAAACTCTCCAGTTTGTCTAACCCCACTTGAATAATTCCCATGCCAAGCA